CAGGTGGCTGAAAGTGGGAGAAAGGAGGTCGCCGGAGGAGGCTGGTGGTGGTGAAACGGAAGGTGCCCGGGTGAAGGAGGCTGGGTCAGGGATGCTGGGCAGGGGGGAAGAGCGGCGGGCAGCCGGCACCCCAGAGTAGCTGACGCTTTGGCGGAGAAGCTGCGGAGACGAGGAGGCCGAAGAGGAGGCCGAGTGGAACTGGGCCTCTTCGGGATAGTGGATGAAGTGGCACCGGGAGCCGTAGGGGCATTCCCCGTGGAGGTAGAACTTGTGGCACAGCTCCGTCTTGTACTTGGGGTGGCGGCTGACGGAGCGGAGCTCGGCGGTGCCGTGGGCAAACTGGCACTTGGCTCCGTACTTGCACTTGCCCGTCTCGCTGAAGGTGCGGCACAGCTCTGTCTTGTAGCGGGAGGAGGGTGCCGGGGCCAGAGAGGGCAGCCGGAGGGGCGGAAAGCCCGGCGGTGGAGGAGGAGGGAGGGCCTTCCCTTCAATGAGGCTGACTGAACGATCAGGCCGCAATGGGGGACGCCGGCCCGGGTCTCCCAGGGGGCGAAGCTGCTCAGCAGCTGGGCTCCAGTGGCTGCGGAGGGGCCACACAGGAGAAGGGTCCCCGCTGCTGCTGCTGTAGGGGGTGTCCGAGGAACAGGCCGAGTGGCGGCGAGAGAGGTGAGGCCCCGACAGGTCCTGCTCTTCGCTCATTGACAGATTGAGCAAGTTCTGCGGAGAGGAAGGAACAGAGCGCAATTAGCCTCAATGTTTTAAAAAAAAAGGCCCAGGATTTGAACACAGAACAGGTAACAATTTGATTGAATTTCTTTCATCACCAAAAATTTCAACTCTATAGAAGATGCTTTCTTATTGTCACAACCAGGCCTGGGAAAAGGTCTTTCTTTTTGGTCTACCATTCCCTATATCCCCCAGCCATTGTGCTAGTGTAAATCCTTTTCCTGGACTATTGGGCAATGGCAGTCCCCCAAAAGGACTTTTTCCAACCTGGGTCTCCAATGCAATGTTTTTCACATGTGTTAGGCAGCCTTGAAGACAGACAGCAACAGGACCCAAATGGATCCCTCCTTGCCATGCCATAAAAAGTGAACGGAAGAAGCCTCTCATGGATCGCAGAGTGCTCCTTCCCATGTTCAAACCACTTCTTGAGCCCGTGTTCCTCAAGTGGCAAAGATGCATGTGTGAACATGAGTCAGTCCCAAAAGCAAACTCACTTTAAAATAAAAATAAAAACCCACATTCCTAAATGCCCAATGCAGCTAAGATGACCGGGGCTGAGCGGACACAGCAATACCCTTCCCGAAATATCAGTCCCATTCTCAAAGAACATGGAAATTTCCACTCAGTTTGAAAAAAACCTCACCCATGTCATTTTGGAGAGCTATCCCCTGTAGGCTATTGATACCCCACCCATCAAAATGTCCCAGTTTCTCTCTCCTCTGTCCACTTTCCCCCTTTGTCCTCGGCTCGTTTCAACTGCTGCAAACTGAGTTCAAAATGCCAAAGCAAAAAGTAGTTTTGGAAAAGGCAAAAGTAGTTTGCTCTCCATTCATTCAGCAGGGGGAAAGGAGAAGAGGTGGGAGGCTCAGGCAAAAGCAAACTGCTGCAGCCTCTGCTAGCATGGGCGTCCTTCCTCATGAATAACCTTTCCCATCTTGCGCAAACTCTGATTTTTATTTTAGCCACATGCCTCCCCTCTTTTTTTTTGGAAACGTCGGAGGATCTTTGGCACTGTGGCAGAAGGCAAGGTGGGGGAAAAAATACAGGGAGACTGAAGGCGAGTTTTCTAAAGCAAGCCAGGCAGCTAAGCAAAAAGGGATGATGTCAGGTCTTTTAATATAGCCTCGGTGAGCTGGGCTGGTGTTATTTTTAAAAGGCGTTCATTCTGGTGGGGCTGAAAAGCCAGAGTGGAACAGCTGGTCGGTCAATGGCGACCGCAGAGCCAGAAACCAGGGCGGGGGTGGGCGCAAGAAAAGCTGCACCGACA